GTAAAGCACTGACACAAGTTAATATATTACCCCGTCAACATAAACAGACTTGTGTAAAGCTTTTTGTTTATATAGCACTTTAGCATAATATAGATAAGGAATACAACTCTTCAGGATGTGCTGTTACAGAAATCAAGCAAACATCCCAATCTATAGCAAGCTAGTTTGAAGAAAATTTGGCTAGCTAACTCATGCTAACCTATGTCTCTTCAGATAATGTCGTCATCAGTTCAGGGTTGCCAGGGCCACAGTGTCTACACCAAACTGGAATAGTCTTGGAAAGCAAGTCCATTGGGTGGTGTTTTTTGGCTATCTTAAACATAACTAGTTTTACAGCTAATAATCAGAATTAAATTTAATGTAACATTCTCAAACATGGACTAAGGCAAACAAAGGGAAAGTGAAAGTGCATACAGTGTATATACAATGTACAGAACCATTTTAGTTGTAAGTTCTACTCTTGCAAAAGATTGCGAAAGGGAACAGGGGATTACGGATTGGATAATGGACGTTTCAGGTGATCATCCATCCATCCATTCTCCGCTTATCCTACTAAGGGTCACGGGGTAGCCTGAAGCCTATCCTAGGGGACTTGGGGCACAAGGTGGGGGACACTCTGGATGGGGTGCCAACACAATCGCACACACACACTCACACACTCCAGACAATTTGGAAATGCCAATCAGCCTACAACACGTCTTTGGACTGGGAGAGGAAACTAGAGTACCTGGAGGAACCTCCTCATAGCAGCTGCTAATAAACAGTACTGCAAATCATCTCAGTATCTTTATTCTAAATGCATTTTTTACATCATGTTCTTGGAGTAATGCGTCTGGGTCTGTAATGCGTACATCTATGGTCAGGATATGCCCTCGATTTCCTAACACACAGAACTCCACATTTCTCGTGTTTCCTGGCCTAAAAAAACAAATGGCAGGAAAATCAAAGCGGGCGAAAAGATAAAAAAGGGAGAGAAGTGGCGAATCGTGATGACGTGAGTCAGTAACTGAAAATAATGAGCTCTTCCTGGAGTTGGAGTCCAAGACAGGACGGCAAAAAGGGACCTCCACTTGCTCCCAAAGGAACGCAGTATGTTCACACTCCATCTCCTCCATATGTTCCTCTAACACCAAAACCTTATTTTACAAACCACACCGCTCAAGAAGGAGACTGTGTGGTTTTATGATTATCGTAAACCTGCAATGCAAAGGCTTAAAGCGCAACATGGACCAATTAATAGGTTTAAAATGCCTTGGATGCTCTTTTTCTGCACGGAAATACTGAAACTCTATCGGTACGAGGCTTGTGTGAGCAGTGGAATAGCGCTCAGCATAGATAAGCAGCCAGAACTAACCGAGCAGTGAAAAAAAGTCAAGCTCCTGTAATTATGTTCTACACACTGTTCACAGATAGCTGATTGATGATAAAACCGAGCCTGTGCCATCACTCCAGCCCTCCAGCTACTCAGTCGCACTGTGTGTATCCTGTCTCTCTCACACACACACACACACACACAGCATTTAACCCGCAGCCAGTGTGAGCTCTGAGCTCCCAGGCTTGTAGTCGTGCCATCCTTTCCTGCTGTCATGCTAGCTAAATGTTACCCTTAAACATTATAAAACTATTAACACCACCTCTGAGTGTCCCAGAGTGTATAAATCTTTCATTCTTTTCCATCAATAAATCATTAGCATTTTTTAATAGTGACTGGAAAATGAAGCACAGCAGTGTTGTGCATTTTAAAAAGGTGTTAAAGTATTGCTTTCGCAAAAGAATCTGACTGCCAAAGTCATTGTCTAATCGAAATGAAGATTTTGGCTTCGTTCCAAGCAGCTTTTCTCACTTAGCAAGTAAAATTACCCTAAATATAGGCAATTTTTTTCATTATTAGACTATTATAATTCAAATATAAGAGTATTAAGCCTATTTATAGATGTTTTAATAAATTTCAAGCTTGAAATTGGCTTATTAATTTTTCCTCTTTATAGAAATAAATTATTTGCCAACGGACCGTTTAAAGATTAAAATTATGAAACCTACCTAGAAAAAAAACTATATATTGGTAGTAGTAGTAGTAGTAGTAGTAGTAGTAGTAGTAGTTGATCTATTAATATTAGTATAATATTTTTCTTTTTAATCTCATAATGAGAAATGATAGATAAATTCACTATTCAAGATATTTTCCTTTGCTAACATTATTTTTAGCTGTAAAAAAAAAAAAAATCTACACAAATCTTCAAAAATCTTCAAAAAATGCCTCCAAAAATTTTTCTCTGGAAAAAAAACAAAACGCATTCCAGCACTTCCTTGTGATTCATCCGAAGCAAGGCAATTCAGTGAATAATGTGTGTTTCTGCAACACATTTCTGGCACTATTTTAGGTCTTTAGGCAGCTTGTGTGCTCCAGAGGGGTTCCCTGCTGCACACAATGTCTATTAACAATTTAAAATGGAGACGCTCAACTAGGCTACGGATGACTACGGCAAGAAAAAATGGACCTCCTGTTCGCACGAAGACGAAGCGGCATGTTTTTGAAGCTGAACAGATGGCGCATATTAATGGAAGGAACCAGTCTGAAGATGGAAATGATCGTCCCTGTTACCACTTTTATCTGGACCACATACTGATGAGGAGAGATATGATCTGGATCTGGCTCAGAGACTGTGTCACAGCTATGATGCGGTCTGTCAGGACCAAAACTCACAGTTGGGCAGCTAAAATGTTGCAGTTATTGGAAAATCAACTTTGGGGTGGTATCAGTAATGCCACTTTGTCAAACCACCTTATCATTGATTATTTTCTCATAACAGCAAGCTCATAAGTGTTTCAATTCCTTAATTAATACATACATTATTCCCCCAACTCATGCATACAACCTTCTCTACTAGCCTTTATGGTGGTGCTATATAGTTTTTTTTTAAATGCATATTAAAAGTGCATAGTTATGAGTGAGGAATATCAGCCTCGACCCCCCTGGAAGTTCACGGGGTTAAGTAATACATCCTAATGGCATGTTGCAGCATTACTAGTAACGATTTTACATGCACTGAGATGGACTAATTTATTAAATGTAGTCTAAAACTGCACTGTTAGCATCTGCTAGGACACGATTAATCGACCACCTCATCCCACTAACGGTCTGAGAAACGGACCCTCTTTCTCAATACTGCTTCAGAAAGTTCGTTTCACCATCAATACATTTCAACGCGAGTGACCGTACTGCTTGGTCAGATGTACATGCATGCAGTTACTCTTCCAGGTGGATTCATTGCTTCAGCATTTCTGGTTCCCGAAAGACTTGGATCATCATGTCACACCAGCTCAGCAGTAACTCTTCCTCTCCAATGCATCACGGAAAGCCAATAATCAAACAATCCTCTTTAAACGCCTCCAGTGATTTAATGTGCACAGAATGTATATCATGGTTGGTGTCCAAATTTCACAACTCTAAATGCTAAATTTGGAGGCGCTCCAGTTAGTCTTGTTATTAAAAGAGAAGCGTCTTATTACTACAAGAAAACCTTTTGTAATTATGTGAAAACACCTCGTTACTACAGGAAAAGATCTCACTACTACGCGAAAACATAATTACGACAAAAAGCATCTCGTTACTAAACGAAAACATCTGATTATTACAAGAAAAGAATCTTTTTACTACAAGAAGCCACTTCACTATTACAAGATATGTATCCCGTTAGTTAGAAAACATCTTGCTACTACAAGAAAACATCTAGTTATTATGAGTTACGCATCTCATTATTATGACAAAATGGCTCACTACTACAAGTAAGCATCAGTAGTACAAGAAAAGCATCTCGTTATTACAGGAAAACATCTCTGTATTAGAAGAAAAGCATCTTACTACAAAAAAAATCTTGTTACAAGAAAACATTTCAGTATTATGAGAAAACATTATTATTATTAGTAGTAGTAGTAGTAGTTTTAGCAGCAGTGGTAGTAGTATTATGGGAAAACGTCTCGTTACTACAAGAAACCATTTCGTTATTATGAAATATGTATCTCATTATTAGGAGAAAACATCCCATTACTATGAGAAAACTATCTGGTTATTACAAGTAAAGCATCTCATTACTATAAGAAAACATTTTGTAATTATGAGAAATGAACCTTGCTTCTACAAAAAACATTTTCCCATAATAACAAGATCTTTCCTTAAGTAAGTGCAAATGAAAATGTACTAATAAAAATAAATAAATAAATAAAAACAAACTTGGCTTGAGCAAATTCTAACAAAAACTAAAATATTAGCTGTTGCAAACTGCAGCTGGTGCAAGTGAGAGTTTTTTTTTGTGCTAGGTCATCTTTCCATCCTGTAAAAATGCTAAGCTAAATGCTACGCCTCTAAAGGTTTATCGGTTATCAAACAAGTCAGCAAAGCAAAGCAGGCTAAATGCTGGATTGTCAGTTTTTTTAACAGCTCTGTGTGGAACGATGAGGGCAGCACCGCAGTGTCCTGTTTGTCCTGTTCACCTCCAACCATTCATGTGTAAATTCTCACATAGTCAATAGAAAAAGTGCAACGCTGAGAGAGAGAGAAACAAAAAAAAAAATGAAATGACCTTGGTGAAGCAGAACGGATCGAAGCTGTCTTTTGTATTTTGGCTAGCTTGTGTGTTGAGCCATTATTCTGCAGCTGAGAGCTGAAAGCTAATCTCTGTTTGAGAGAAACCCTGGCTCTTCTTAAACCCCCAAGCTTTAAGCAGCACTGGAAAATTTTAATCTCTAGTGACAGATGTAGCTAACACAAACGTGCACTTTTCAGAAAGTTGCATCACAAGTGTGTTATGCCATGTGCAAATATTTCCACGTTTTCACGTCACTAAGGATAAACATCAGTGATAAGGAGGTTCCGATGGAGTTGGCTGCTTAAGTGAATGGGAATGTCTTCTGGATAAGCCGTAATAAGAAACAGTGGTTTGGCTTTAAACGAATACAACGATATTTATAATAGATATCTATTATAAATAGATTGCTGGGGGTCCCTGGAGGACTAGTGGTTAGGCCACAGCACTCTCTGCTGCAGCCCGGGTTTGATTCCTGGCCAGGGAACCAACCCCAGCCACTGAGCTTGCGTGCAACAGTGCGCTCTCAGTGCCGGTCCCAGGCCCGGATAAAACTGGGGAGGGTTGCGTCAGGAAGGACATCCGGCGTAAAAACTGTGCCAAATCAATAATGTGGACCAACGATCCTCTGTGGTGACCCCTTACGGGAGCAGCCGAGAGAGGAACAGCAACAACATCAACCAGAACTACTTTTTTCTGTCAAAGTTGAATAAAACTCCATAAGAACAACTTTGGAAAGGCTTTCTGTCCTGTCTTTGCACCTTTAAATGTTGGTGACGGCCGGGACGGCTACAGCAGCCGGACAAAAAACTGAGTTGATCCAAATCCTCGTCTCCGCCCCCAAGATTGTTTCTGGGCTTGTTTGTGGGTGGGGCTTATAATCGCATAATTGCGTTCATATAGACTCATGGCTCAATTGAGCAGTGTCACTTCCGTAAGTCACTCAAGTTTGCAAAATGGTAGGCACTAGGTTCATACGTCTGCTGTTTTGAATTTTTCTTTTCCATTTGAACCAACACTCAAGTGGCAAAGAACAGATAGCTGACAGATAGCGCCAAGCACAGATAGCTTCCACACCTGATACGGAATGTGCTGCGCTGTGGTTTGACTGAAGCGAACACCAGACCACTGTTTTCAAGAGGACCAGGGATCAGATCTTGGGCTTGAAAACAACTTCCGCATTTCACCAATTGTACCGAACTCAGGGGCTGAAACCGCCCCATGTCCAGGGGAAAAAAAACAAAACAAAACGACCTTACATTCGCTGCTTCCTGCCGGTTCTACTATGGTTTAGCTTACTCGTGAAAGGTTTAGGTGAGTTACTTTCATGGTTTTAATGTGTATTAACATTGGAATTATATTTAACCTAGACACTGGCATTATTCCTTCCATGAATTCAGAGCAATCGGGTCACAGTAAGTCAACTTTCACATCATAATGAGTTTCTGATATTTTAGTAAGCACTTGTTTAATCACGCAAAGTTGCACTGTAGCCTTAGAGTAGTTGCTGTATGCCTTTAGTTTCCTCATCCCTGCTTGTAGGCATCGCTGCTTGTAGTCCCTGCTGTTCGACTGTAATGGTTGCAGTTTGGAATTCTATTTATTTCAACATATTTTAAACATTTAAAACATATTAGCGGAGTTTAACACTTGCACTTAGACTTCCATTATACCTCAGTTTAGCACAAATTTGTTTCTTGCCTTTTCTTAATTTAGAATTTTTCTCTTAAACTATTTTTGTCTGTGGTAATAATACATGCTGCAGACGTGCTGAATAGACATATTTTTAAAAAATGGTGGCGTATATCTTTAATGTGGCAAAGAAGTTGGACAAGGACGGGTTAAAAACAGTGTTGGATCGCAATCATTTCTCACAGGAAAATGGAGCAAATGACTGACAGTTGCTTGTTTCTTGGATATTTCATTACTGCGGTTAGAATATGCATCTCCCATGGCGTGCTCCTGCTTCGTGGGATTTATGCAGATTATTTTCAGCCTTCATTTCAATTTCAATTTGACGATAAGCAGAATGCACTGCTACGTTTTATCCTGATTAACTAATCCAAGCAAAGCTAATGATACAAAATGTGTTTCCTCAGATATTTTACAGCTCTCAGCTACTCCGGATTGCTCATCACTGCAGAACGTCACACTCGTGTTTTCCTGAGAGTTTTTTTTTCCATGAAGACAGGATGTGTGTGGAGTCTTCACGTTCTCAGGTAGGAGTCAGTGAAAGATCAGCAGAGCCACAAGATCACTTTCTCTTTCTTCTTCCACTATCTCCTGCATCCCTCTAGCTTTCCCATCATCACACACACACATCTCCTCTTTACTCATATCCATCACGGTTTCTTGTACTGTATCTCTTCTTCTCAGCAGTGAGTGTAGCTTTAATATTAAAGACTATTTGAGAGAAATCTCTGCTCACTGCTGGAGGATTTCAGGCTTTGGAGAAGAAGAGAGAAGTATGACTCACTAAGCTAATTCATTCTACAAAGCAAGGTGATGCATACCAGACAGGATTAGTCCAAAGAGTTTACTCTGAGATGTGCTTTTTCTGTAAATGTGGATGGCTGTTACATAAACACAGAGGCTTTGAGTCATAAGACTCAAGGATTTCTATATTAGACAACTAGCCACCCCTCAGTTAATTTTTTTTCCTTTTGAGTGGGTATTATAACAGTACGAAACAAAATATGACTGTTTTTGGTGGGACATTAAAAAAAAATAGAAAAAGCAGTTAACAATGGGACTCGTTTATCAAGCTGGATACGAATTCATAAATCGTTCGCAGCAAGAAAATCCATGTAATTGGGAAAAACTTTCATATCCTACATGCGTTCCTGATTTTGTGTAAATGTACATGTAAGGAGAATCATTAATGACAACCTCGACTGATCGGTGTCAGATCATCTAATTGGCGATGAGTTAGTGCCATTTTTATATACAGATTACACTTTCAAGTTTACATTGCTCATTTATTTCAATTGCACACACTGATTTTATGAACATTTTGTGACACTCAGTCATTAATTATGATGCATAAAACTAGCCATTTGATTACCACAAAAGTAATGGCGCCATATAAACAGTGGAAGAGTTACTGTGTGTCTGTGGTAGCCTAACTGCTGCAATGGCTGAGCTGCTTTATTGGAAGATTTAGCATATGCCTCTGCTCTTTCAACATTTAGTCGCCATTTTGTCATTTAGTGGGCATCACTAAATAACATGCTTTGTAATTTATCAGCACCGAAACTTTTATAAATCTGGCAGAAATTTTTAGTTTGACTGGGCATCCAAAAACATTAACACAGAACGTTACTACAAGATCGATAAACAAGGCCTAGTGATAGTATGACTCTTTCAGATTTCCCATCATATCGATTATTTGTCCTACTTCTTGACTGAGTGAATTAAAAGCTACTTCAGCCCACGCTAATTTACTAGCACTAATTGACTTTTTTCTTTACTGCGGCCCCATTTCTCTCCTATCAGGTCCATGAAAGTTGTCAGACACTGCCTCTCTAGGCCACGATTGAATTCCGCTCAGTTTTAATCTGCTGATTAGGATTTGCAACACTGAGAGACTTTGAGTCTGTCCTGATGGTCTTTCATCCTGACGGAGTGGGCTCTCTGCTAATTGGCGCAGTCTCTGTTCTCCTCTCTGATAATGAAGGATGGACAGACAAAATGGCCTTCTGCTGATTACGGATATAAGAAATGACAAGCAGCTCGATAGAGTCTATGGGATAGATGAGGAACTGCTTTATCGCTCAGGAACCAACTCGGACAGAGAAATTCTCCGGCTGTGAGCATGGAAGTGTTCTGGCATTCACGGCTATATTGAAACAGACAGTGGCACTGTGAGTCATGGTGCTGTTAGGTTCCTATATTGCTCCTATACTGACGTATTTCCTCTTCATTCATGCAGAAGCAACAAGACTGCTGGACCATAATGCACCAAAGCTACACGTCAGATTGGATTACGTCCAGCGTTTGCACAGAGAGGTCCTGCACGTCTCAGTCCAGTCCAGTAGGACACTTAGCGTTGAAAGAGTCTAAAAATGTCCAAAAATGAGCCAACAGACCATATCATGTATGCATTTAGATCACATTTCATCCAACACCAATCCAGCAGGAATACTCCAGCAATTTTAAACCTAATCTCTAATCTAATACATCTATAATCTATCAATCTATAATCTAATACAGCTATAGTGTGTGCAATTACCACTTTCCCTGTCCTGGTAAAGTAATCAGAAAATCTGTTTAACTCCATCAATAAAATGTTTATGAGAAATTCCCACATGATGGTATACCATCATCATCATCAAGCCATCGGAAATAGCTACACAGTTTTTAAGCAAGGTTGTCTGCTTTGAAATAAGCAAGCATGCTGGAGAAAAGCAAAGAAAACCCTGCTAACACCAAGAGGCTTCCACAGGGCAGATGCTTTTATTCCAAAGTGACATACAAGCGAGGCAAGCACAGAGCTGCTGCTTGTCATTTATGTTACAATTACATGCATTTATTCTTAAATACAAAGAATTCCAATTAATAAAGGACTTAATAAATTAATAAAGGTCTGGCTCAGGAGCTCACCAGTGGTTCTCTTACAGTCCTGGGATTATCAAGTAAACCACTGAACCACCACTATCTCTATCAGAACCACCCAGAAAAGATATTCTGACGTAAAGTGTTTGCTGTTTCTGTGTTCAGAGAACGAGCGCCACTGTGGAGCGAGTCCTGCATCCGTCTGGCGCTCCCCTCCATCCAGCACGGCTTAACATTAAACCAACTGGGAATTCCACCAAACGTGCCAGCGATGCAGTGCACAAACCTCATGATATGCACCATAATGGAGTGGAATGGAGGAAAATAAAATAAAATACAATGATGAAGCACCATTACACGGTCTGTTCTGGCTCTTTTATACACTGAACGTGCTAATGGAATGGTGGTTTATAGAAAATAAGTATATTTAGGAATTTATGAAGGTATGTGTGAGCATCATGGTGTCTACAGAACAGCATGAATCACCAACATCATGCAAAAACACCAGAGTGCACAATCAGAAAAGGCTTTTTTTCCTCTAAACACAAACAGGTCCAAGAAATTGACTCCTTTTATAGTTCATATTGCGTCTTTACTTGTGTGATTTTTTTTAAAGAATTATAATTCAGTGTCCTTGTGCTTTGGCCCTTGAGAAGAGGTGCAGTTGTAATGAGTTAGCGCATCTCCATCGTTCCAGGATTGCTACATGTGCTCTTTTTCTGCATAGCGGAGTCATTAGCGCTTGTTCTCCTCTCCATACAGTTTGCACCACTGAGCAGCTGAACATGCCCCCTCCTTCTCTCTCTCTCTCTCTCTCTCTCTCTCTCGTATCATTGGACTAATGATTCTGCTTGTCACTCACGCCTGGACGACCGGGTCTGTAGACTTCATATGATGTTGCTGCTTCATTCAGATGGACCACACACACATCCT